CCCTAGTAGAACATAATTAACTCAGATATAAATAATAAAAATAAAAAATAATTTTAGAAAAGTGGTATTTTTGTAAAGATTTCAAAAGTGTGACATTTTTGTAAAGTGACACTTGAAAAGTGGCATTTTTTGAAATTTCTCCATTAAGATTAGCATATATGATAATAGACATTTTGTTTAAAGGAATTATAATTCATTTTTTTATAAATCTATATATTAATTGTTCAGTAACAGGAAAAATCAATTATCGATATATGACATCTACTAAAACCTCGAAAAATGTAATTAGCTATGATGTACCTTCAAGACCTTCAATATCACTCAACGTCTAGCCCTTTACAGATATGCTCACGAAATTTCCTAAATATATTCACAACGACCATTTTATTATAAGAAAATTATTACTTAATTCAATTATTTATTAATAAGAAAAATTTTACTTGAGGCATCGATAAGACTTTTGGAAACGGATGCTAGTATGTACGTATATCTTTCTTTGGGAGGGTTAAATTATTATAAATCCATCTACCACTTTAAGCATCAATGACGCATTGATTTCTTTAGAAGGCATAATTAGGTCATCATAGTGGTTGTGTAGAATAATCATTTAAAATTTGTCGTTTAAGAGAATGGTTTTAATTTTTTACAAACTGATTGCATTATCTCTCTCTTTTTGATTGAATGCAAAGCATGCATGTTCTTCGAAACTTTTCTGGGTCAATACTATACGAATAATAATGAACATCTGTATATACTGTAAAGTACTGTAGAGCGCCGAAAAGCCCGTTTATAATTATAATCAAACCAAGATCCAAGAAAATTACACACATATATTCCAGTTATTACTAGTTTAAAGTCATTATATTCGGCCAAATAACCTAATCGAATATTTTACATGACACTTCTACTGGTGAATTAGCGACGACATTTCGAAGGACTTGTGCCGTAAGTAAAAAATTCGAATTTTAATGATCGAAGGGGATAAATTAACGTCCTTTGGTCTCTGATCAGAAAAGATTATTAAACAGAAAAAGTCAACACTAGTTCAATGCAAATCCACAATTAACAAACGATGATTAAGACTGGCTAACGTGAAGTAATTAGCGATACTAGTTAGAAACCATTAGTTTCAATAAATTACAAGACAAGTGTCTTCTAGCTAGAGTCCACACCTTCCAACTAAGCTTTTTCCAAAAGAAATTATTTTTACTTTCTCGTACCCAACAATTCTTTGTTTACCATTTAACTAAAACGAACCATACTTTCATCAAGAAAGGTAAAACAAAAGAAGAAAAAATGAAAACAAACGATCATGGACTTCTCCTCTTGAGCTTATTTTCCATCTTTTCTCTTCTTCACTTCCCATACTTAGCCATATCCGAGACGCCGTGTCCGTATGTTATCCACCGCCAATCGGTGGTGGCTCCTCCATGCCGTCCACGTACGACTCAACCACCACCATATCCTCCTCCAGCCGTTAACTACCCTTCTCCGGCTGGAAATATACCAAACTACTTTTCTCCACCGTACAACGTCGGAGGCCGTAGTGACAGTGGCTTATACGGTCCTCCACCGCCGGACGCTATATATATTGCTGTTTCGGAAAAAATTAACCAGGTTCGCAAGTACACAGATTTACGGAATGATAGAGAGAAGTAGAGTTTATTAATCAACYAAGTAGYCTTGTAGCCGAGTAGTATTACAACMTCTAGATGTCTAAAGCGTTATAAAGAACTTCGTTGGATGTGGAAAACAAGGCTAGATCTCTGMTTGCAATCGCTGGGATGCTGTGAAGATGTAGCTCTTAGGTTTTCTCTGTGTATTTTCGTCTGTACCCCCCTCTCTCTAAGACGTGTCTATTTATAAGACTTGACCAAATTCTTCTCCGATTTGGATGAGACCTGACGCCCAGGTTTTTCTCCCTAATAATTGGGATTCTTGATACACTTGAGTCATTTACCTCTTCATATTCTCAAGTCAAGATAATGATGGACCTRGTTATAATCCCCACCGCCAAGTCCATATGTAGTTATCTTAATAGATATGTATTTATTTTATATCCAATAAATGAACTAACCTTATAACGACGTCGTAACGGCGTTAACGACGTCGTAACGGCGCTAGCGACTTCATGGCAAAGTGGTAACGAGGTCTCACTTGCTAGTGACAAGTAATTTCTCCATTTTACATGACATACATGACGTATCGTCGGGTAATAGCAGGTTATCACTTGTTCCTACCTGACTTTATCTCACGTAGACGATCTTACGTCACGTATCAGCAAGCTACCACCTGACTTCCTTTATATAGGCAATCCCTTGCCAGGTATCGGCAAGTTTTTACTTCGCTCTGCCTGACGTAGATGATTCATTGACAATATCTGACTTGGTTACGACAAGTCAATACCTCGTTTTACTTGACATAGACGACGCATTGTCAYGTAGTYGCATGTCATCAGCTTATTAGACCTGGCCTAAATAGTATGGAACCAAGTCTATTGTTCGAGCCAGCACTAGCTAAGACGTATCAAGTAGTGAATTTATTTTCCCCAACAATTGCCTTACTTTCCCTTCTACTTCAGAAAACCACCTCACCAAACGGATCAAACGTCGTCGTCTTCACTGGTGGCGGTTCCAGGCAAATTGACGAGGATCGTAGCCGTGACAAATCTTGTGATGGTTGGAGTTCTCGGTAACATTAGGTTTGTAACTTAGTTAGTAAGTAGTTCTTGTGGAAAATATCCTTATGTTATGTAAGAAAATATTGTAACACGTTAGAATATACTGCGGTTGAAATAAAGGAGAACAAGAAAAATGTTTATACAAGAAGCTAATCAATCATATTATTCGTTGTATTTGTTTTTTATGTTCACACATTATATTAATGCGGTAATACATATATGCAAATTTAAAAGTTACATCATTTGTCGCGATCCTTGGATTAGGATAAGCACGAGAGTAATGTCAATAACGTCACTTTTCGTGGGTGGCTTCGTAGTGGACAACAGTGGAGGTTAACGAATGGACAAAAGGATTAGCGACAGACTTATACATTGTCTCTTTTATCATGTGGAACTCATGCTAGCAGAAAAGGATAATTAGGCCACCTGAATTACATAATTTGGAATTAAAAATTCAATTTAATGTGATGAGAAAAATATAAATTAATTCCACATACATATTTGAAATACTTTCTCGTTTCACAAAGCTTGTCGGTCCAGAATTATTTCCTCTAGAATAATGTGATTTCATACTTTTAAAGTGAATTTCCAAACCATTTCGTATACTTCATATTTTATCAGAACTAATAAACTTGGGAAAATTAACAAATATACCACTTGTTAGGAAAAAGGTTTTCCAATCTACGACATTCTTCAAACTCTTTTATTGACTACCATAATGACAGATAGTCAATACAAAACAGACAGAATTACCCCCGGCATATTTATACGAGGAAGGTGGGGAGTAGTGCGTAGGACAAGACAAGTTTATTTTGGCAGGAGAATTTTCAGAAGTAGCATTTAATGTTCTAGTGTGTAGGACAAGACCCAAAAAATAATAATTAGATTTGAAAAAATATAATCGGTCAGGTAATGAAGATTTTTAAAGACAATCAAGCAAAATAAAGAGAGAGAAGGAGAGAGAAAGAACTAATGGAGTGATAGTTTGTAGAACTTGAAGATTGAGAAGAAGAGAAATTTAAAGTAAGGGGTAAATGTAGTTGTATTTAATACTTTTGGCATATTTATTTATACAGATTGTGTTGGTCGTTACATTAATGCAGTTTTCGTGGACAAGAATCAATGGAGGCAGCAGTATTGGTGATTGTTGGAGAGTGGTTATGCAAGGATGACAGAGAATGATATTTTCGTATTTCAAAGGACGTTTTTGGTAAGTGTGTGGATGTTGGACCCGAAGACAAGTATGAAAACATAAAGCAGAGAGTTGTTGAAGCTTTTGGCATAAATCTGGTAAAAGAGCGTGCGGT